CACTATGCCAGGCTCAGTGCATTTAAACCTTGCAGCAGCCCTGCAAAGTTGCTACTCTCATATAGCCATTTTGCAAGTAAGAAATTCAGGATTAAGCCAGGGAGTTAGCTCAGTGGCATAAGCACCTGCCTGGCAAGCGTGAGGTCATGAGTTCAATCCCTGGTACCAAAAAATATGTTTATAAAAAAGAAATTCAGGCTCACAGCTAGGCATGGTGACATACAGTTAAGAGGCTGAGGCAGGAGGATCATCTAAATTCAAGGACAGCTTCGGCTACATAGTGAATTCAAGGCCAGCCTGAATTATACTGTAAGCATGTAAGCAAGACCCTGAGTCCAAAAAAAAAAAAAAGGCAGGAAGAAATTCAACCCCAAAAGTGAAACAACATATCCAAGCTAATACAGACAGTGAGATTCAATGTTCAAGAGCTAATGCCTGGACAGTGTACAAGGCACTTTCTTTCCCCTACCTTACTGTAAATTGGTTGGGTGGCTGGATCCAAGCCAGGTCTCACTGACCCCTGGAGGTCCTATTTCAGACCAGATGCAGGAAGGATAAAACACCAAGCGGGCTCTATTGCCTTATCTCTTTCCCATAGCTTAGGGTTTCCTAACAGGTGGACATACAGGCACCTTCCCAGGACAGTAACGGGTAAGCTGGCCCTTCCTTTACCAAGTCAGGTTTTGTCTGAGGCCCTAGAACACCCACAGGGCTACCAAACTGGATTTTCCTTTGAAATTGAGAGACGGAAGAGGGGGAGACAGAATGGGAAGACCTGTGGTCCAGAGTCACAGAGAGCAGCCCCACACGTGTAGCTGACTCCTCCAGAGGCCACCCAGGGACTGCTCAGTGTCAGCTCCATGCTCTCCTGGGATCTGTTAATAGCTCGAAAAAAGTGGATGCTCTGAACTTAGAATCTAGAGAAAGTGGTAGAAAAACAAAGAGAGGCTCCGGCTTGCCAGAAAGGCCCTGGTCTCACCTCAACTGGCACATAATAATCTATAAGGGATGCCGATTATTAAGCCAGTTCCATGATTTCCAAAGTCATAGAACTGTCATAGATGGCTAAAAGTAGAGACAGGGAAGAGGGGAACTGAAGAAGGCGATACAGCTGTTCCAGATGTTTTTCCCTAAGTCTGGCTCAGATCCCTCACTCCGTTAACAGGAAGCCAATGCCCATGGGATCCCAGAAAGCTTAGCTCATCATCTCATCTGGCTCACAGATTGAGCACACTGAGGGTGGGTGGGAAATTCCAGCCTAAGGAGGCCAGTTCTGACAATCACATGGGAAAAAAAGAACAAGTTCAGAGACCCACCTGTCAAGCCATCTCCCTTGGACCAGGGCACCTGGTATTGAACTTACATCCTTCTTTACCTTCCTGACCACCTTCTCTAAGTTGCAGAAGGGATACTGAACAAGTCATTCTCCCTAACCCCATGTGATAGGCTAACATCACACTTCCCACTTTTCCTTGCTGAGAACATTTCTCTCTCTTTACCTGGTCCTCCTTGGACTTCAACACCTAACTCAGTCTCCAGAGAAGCAAGAACTAATGCTGCCAATCCCTCTGCCCATGCCCAAGCTATCCAGAGGGTCATTTGCTAGCTGACTGCTTTCTTGCCTTTGGCAAGTAGAGAAACCTCCATCCCACTAAAGATGTTCTGAAGAGTAGGCTCAAAAGACAGATGGAGTGAAGTGGAAAGGGCAAGGCTTGAGAACTGTTCTGAGTTCAGTCCCCAGCTTTGGTCCTAAAAGGTTAATCATCACTCTCAGGCTTCAGTTTACCTACCCATATGGTGATGGCCATCTCTAAGGTCACTCTTAACTTTCTGACTTGGAATGTCTGTTAGTAAATTATTCAATAAATAAATATTAATTGAGCATTTCCTCCACTGCAGGCCTGAGAAGAAAAAGATGAATAAGCCTCTACGTAGTCCTAAACTGATCAAGCTAATAAACCAATAAAGAAAACACACTATTATGTGTTCCAGGGCCATTCCTGGAGGGATATTAACTCCCTACACTGCTGTGGGAATCAAAGCCAGAGATTAGGGCAAACAGGTTCCTGACAGACACCTGATTTCGTGTGGGAGCCACGGGCCATTTTTATGAATAGTGAATATGGTGAACTGAGAGTCTGTTTTTTGAGACAGTCTCACAATATAGTTCAGTGTGGCCTTGAACTCCTCTATATAACTCAAGCTGGCCTTGAACTCATGAAGACCCTCCTGCCTAAGCTTTCCAAGTGCTAGGATTATAGATATAGCTTCTGGCCTGGCAATCAGAAACCCTAGGTTCAAATCCTAGTTCTGACATTAATATGCTGTATGATCTTAAATAAGTTATTCTCTTTGGCCTGCTTTCTCTTTTGTATAAGTAAAGTTAATTGGTAATTTCTTTTAAGATCCCTTCCAGTTCAAACAGCCACCAGCAGGAGATAGCCTCCAATCTGCTCTCTTCTCCATATCCTGGAACTATTAAAACTGACTTCTCTTGAGACAACCTTTGACCCAGGGTGGCTGGAATGGACCTTTAATCTTAAACCAAAGCCCCCACTATCTCTGCCACAGCCATCAGTGCTAATGTTCCATTTCTCTGGGACAGCACATGAACTTCTAGCCCTCAACCATGGGACTGTGTTTAAGGCAGTCACCCTGAAACTTCACACAACTTCCCCTCTTTGGCCTTGGGCAAGACTTATTCGGCTTTTTTAGAACCACAAGATTAAACAAGGAACATCGAAGCTTTCTAATACTTTCTGACAACCTCAAGAAAGTAAGGCAGTGAGCGAGGAGAGGCCTAAGATTCCACCTCAGCTCTAGTCCTACAGACATCAAAAAAAATGTAAAAGGCATCTGTAGAGCCACATCCCGGGTTTGCGGTTGGAGGGGTGGGGAAGACAGATGTCTGGCTGCCTGGTTGGGGACTACAGCCAGAAGGAGGTGCTCCCACTGGGGCCTCTCTCTGCCCACAAATACCAGAGGTACGCCCTCATTTTTCTCAACATTTCTCCAGCCCTTAGAAGGAAACTAACATTTTCTGACTCACAGCTTATGCCAGGCACTGTGCTAGGCATCTTCATATACCACATTCTCACCCAATCATTGGCTCAGGTCTCAGCTCTACTCACATGCCCTCCTCTATTAGCAGTGTTGGAAGTAAATGTTATAGTTGCCCTTTACAGTAAACATGCTCAAAGATCCACAATCTTGCCCCTTGTGATTCTTAAAACCAACCTTTTACCACTACATTATATTGCTCTGCATCCTGAGATCTCAGTACCTGCCTGATAAGCATGTAGTAGGTATTCTCATGCCCTAGAATTCAACAAAGAATCTGAATTCTTCCTTCCAAGACCCCATAAATGAAAATGAATACTTTTTTCTCAGCTCTCAAGACCATACCCCTCTCTGAGCTCTGGTAACTGTTCTCCAATTTGAAAACAAAATCTCCTTTGGGTTCTCACAAGCTAACCCAGAGGAAAATGGGACAAAGCATCAAGTCTGGGAGAGTGTTGAGGATGAATGAAGGATGCTCCCTGAATCCTGGCTTTGCCAATTGTGAACAACTGAGGAGGGGCTAGAGGAGACAGATTTGGTGGGTGGGTGGAAACTCCCCTTAGAGGAAGAGCCTAGATTTCTCCTAGGAAGAAAGGTCTGGTGAACTAGAGAGGACTTGAAGCTGGAAAAAATTTCAGAAGAGACAGTTACGAGGTTGCTAGTATGGAGTGGAGCTCTTAGATAGTCAAGGCACTTTCCTAAGTGCTAACAGTGGATAAGGGAGCCACAGTCAGGCAGAGAAGAGGAGAAAAGACACATCAAGAGGGAGGCTTGTCAGTTCTGTGCACAGCACTAGTCTCATGTGACACGACAGCTTGGATAAAAGTAGGGTCTCTACTCCATCTTTCCTAAGGCAATCATCAGTCTGCACATGTTAATTATCCTGGGGAGCACTGGATACAGTGAGGTCCAGAAGGCAGAGTTTGGCTGCCCAGCCTGCCCAACTTGGAGGGAAGTTGTGTCCACTACCTCAGTTTTTGCTATCTGTCATCTGAGGGTTCTAGGGTGGTGTGTCTGGGTGTGCTATTTGTGCAGAGACTCTGCTATCCTGACTACTACCACTCCAGATCTGGATTTGGAGAGAAGGATTCATTTCCCCACAGCATGCACAGGGTCTCCGTGCTGTCCTGTGGCTGGAGGAGCTGACAGTGTAGCCTGGATGGAGCCGAGGTGCTGTCACCATGTAGGTACTGGGAGGAGAGTGTCTACCTACCTGTTGCTAGTGACAATGGAGAAAGCTACCTCTGAGGGGGAGGGGAACATTCTGACTCTTCCAAGAGAAGGGACTGTCTGTCCCAGGATGGGACTGTTTGTGGGGAACTGACCAGAAACAGCCCATCCAGAGATTTGCTGTCTCGAGGGTCAATCTGTCCTGGAATGGGATGGAGACAGGGCAGTCCTTTTTACGACTACCTAGGGTTTTCTGATGTGGGGTTAGTGAAATGGTGAGACAAGGACATCTGTGGCTCTGTGGGGGAGGGGATAGAGAACATCTGTATGGGGGAGGGGGTTAGCCGCCTGTAAACCTTCCAGGAGGTGGCAAAGACAATCAGCCCTTGGGCTAGGGTGGCAGCGGTGCGGTGCGTAGGGAGACAGATGTCCAGGTGTCCGTCATTGGCCCGAAATGAGAAAAAGGTACTGTTGATCCTCCCTGGGGGCGGGTCAGTCTGTCCAAAGGATGGAGATGGGGGTAAAAGGGGTAGGATAGCCTGTCTGCACCTAGGTCGGAAGTAGGCTGTCACTGCCCACTGGGGTGGGTCTATGGGGGAAGGGATAGCATGGGGGTGGGGTAGAGGAGGGAAGGGGTCGGGAGTCCCGGTCGAAAGCAGAACGTGTCGGTCTGTCCTCTGGGCGACTCTGTCCTCGTCCAGGCCAGAGCCCACGCCCACGCGGATCCCGCGCCCTGTCCGGACCCCCAGACCAGTCCCGGCTCTACTCACGAGTCCTCTGCTCCCTGTGAGCCTACGATGAATCCGAATTTGTCGATGCGGTGCTCGACGAAGCCGTTGGCCTCCGAGTCGGAGCCGAGAGAGCTGAGCTCGTCGGCAGTTGCCGCGTCTGGGCCCTGCGCCAGGTTCTCCCGGGTCCCTGATAAGCTCCCCGCGGCCGCTGGCGCGCGCGGCCCATTCTCTCCGCTGCTCTTCGCCATCCCTGCCTCACCCGCCACCTCAGCCCCAGCGGCCACCTCGGCCACCTCAGCCGCCTCAGCCTCCCGGCCTCCGCCGACGCCTCCAACGCTCCGCCCACGCGTCGCGCCCATTGGCCACCAGGAGTTTGGGGGCGGAGCTCCAAGCCCACCGGAGAGCTCCCCCCACGCCCAATGGCGGCCGGAGCTTCTGGATCCCTCCCACTACCCCCGGCTGGCGCCAACTGGCCCGACGTGAGGAGGCGGGGCAGCAGTCATCAGGAACCCAGGGCTGCTGATCGCGAGAACTCACCTGGACAATATCCTCTGACCTTCCCGGATAGAGCCAGACTCAGGCTGTCAGCGTAGAAGCTCTCAGGCTGGAGGCCTAGGTTTTCCTCCTGGATTCTGCATCTGCCTCCTTGAGGCCGGCTTCTTAAGCCTTTTAAGACGCCAGGAGCGTGGGTGTGGATCGTTCATCCATTCCTTTATGAACTCTAAGGAGACTCAAATGTGTTCAGGAATTCTACCTGGGGCCCAGAGCAGATTAAATTTTCAACCTTGACTAGAAGTGTGGCACCACATCTGCCTGATCACTGCTTCTGGGGCCTTAAGTTAGCTTGTAGAAGATGTATTAAAAATAATCAGTATGAAGGTGCGTTGGTACATACCTGTAATTCCAGCTATTCGGGAGGCTGAGAGGCAGGAAGAGCACATATCTAAGGCCAACCCAGTTAACTTAATGAGATCCTATCTCAAAATGAAATAAAAGCCTGGGGGTATAGTCCAGTGGTACAGTGCTTGCCTAGCATTCCTGGGTTTGATCCCTACCACACACACACACAAAAGCGAGGCACACACCTGTAATCCCAGGACTAGGAAGGTTGAGACAGGAAAATGGCCCTGAGTTCAAGACCAGCCTGAACTACAAGACCCTGCCCTAAAAAATAAATAATAATAAAAAAGTAAAAAAATCCAAAGTATACAGTCCTATATATTTTTTAGTATATTTACAGAGTTGTGCAACCATCACAATCTAATTTTAAAACATTTTCATCGTCGCAAAAAGAAATTCCTATAATAGTCACTCCCAACCTCCCCAGATCCTGGTCACCACTAATCTACTTTCTAACTATAGATTTTCCTTTTTATGGACATTTCATACAAATGAAATCATATAGTAGGTGGCTTTAATGGTTCTGAGGTGCATCCACATTGTAGCACTCATTAGTACTTCATTCCTTTTTGTGATGAATAATACTCATTGTATGGATATGCCACATTGACAGTCACTTGGATGTGTTCATTTTTAGCTACTAGGAATGATGCTGCTTTGATCATTCCAGTACAAGCATTTTTTTTAAAAAGGGTACTGGCAATGAAATTTAAGGACTCTACCACTCAACTACATTCCCCACCTCCAACCCTCATTTTTATTTTGAGACAGAGCTCAGTAAGTTGCCCAGGCTGGTCTCAAACTTGTGATTCTGCTGCCTCAACCCACCCAGCTGCTGAGATTACAGGTGTGTACCCAGATAGGTACAAGTTTGTGTGGACATATATTTTAATTTACCTTAGGTGGAATTTCCTAGGTATGGGATTTCAGAGTCATAATGGTAACTTTGCTTAACTTTGAGGAACTGGCAAATTGTTTCCCACATTTTTGGTTGCATTTAGCAATGAGATATCATTGCTAAATACATACTATCATTAGTCCCATATAACATTTAAAAGAACTGAGGTTCTAGGTCCCTATAAATCAATAAATGAGGCTGGCCTAGAAAGAGGCAGGAACCAGAAAAGATGGACTTGAGCTGCAGAATCTGAAGCAGGTCTTAAAGGGACAAAAAGCAAGGGGTGGGGGCAGTGAGCTTGAGACTTGAATGATTTTACCAGCTGTTTCCTAGTGGCCCAGACATTCTTAAAGATTTCATCAAGCAGTCTTCACATTCCATGGGCTTCTGGTTTTCCATAAACAGGGCAATAGCAGACATGGGAGTGGGCACAGGCTATTCTGGTCTTAAATCCTGTCTGGGAGGACTTTGCTCATCTCCAATGGCTCTAGAGTGGTGGGCTCTTTGGTCCCAGCTCCAAGGAAGGACAAAGTGAACTGTACGTGAGGATGTGAGTCTATCCCAGAAAAGGGGGAGGACCCAGGCATATTTAGAACAAATGTCATCCTGCAAGCACGGTAAATCAAAGTATCCACAACCCCCCGATTGAATAATTTTGGTCCTTGGCTCACATCCCAAACATATTCTTATTCACCTGTGGTGGGAGTGGGGTGGGGACATATTAGTGGAGCCTGGGTGTCCATCACTAGAAGACTGAATAAACATTACTCCAGTTAATGCCTTGATGCTGCAACTTCTTTTTTTTTTTTTTTTGATTCTGCAACTTTTTTTTTTTTGTAATTTCTTTTTTATTGAACTCACAACCCTGTGCTTGCAAGGCAGGCACTTATACCGCTGAGCTAAATCCCCAGCCCCAGATGCCACAACTTCTAATCTTACATCACACTAATTAGGATTTAAATTTCTGCTGTGATTGAGCAAATCACTTTTCTCTGGGCTATTTTCTTTCTTTCTTTCTTCTTCTTCTCTTTTTTTTTTTTTTTTTTTTTTTTTTTTTGGTGAGGTTGAAGGGGTGCAACAGAATCTTACTAAATTGCCCAGGACTACAGGTACATGCCACTGTGCCTGGCTTCTCTGTTTTTTCATCTATAAAATCAAGTACTGAAAAAAATACATGGTGAACATGGAGATGGCTAAGTATCCAATCATCTGTAGTTTGCAAAATACTTGAACATTCATTATTGTCTTTATTTTTCTTTGCTTCTTTTTAAATTTCACTATTGTTTATTTTTATTTCCTATCATCGCTGTAGTAGAGAAGTTAATTTAATCAATAGTGTAAGCCTTGGGAGATAGCTTCATGGCTTTGCTCCTCAGTAAGTTGGCGTTCGTGTCCAAAATTGCTAAGCTTTTTAGAACCTCATTTTCCACTTTTGAAAAATAGGAATGTCAATAATTACTTGTGAGCCTGTAAGCTATGTCTCTGAAATCTCTAGGACATAACAAACACTCAGCATATATTAGTTTCTTTACTTTAAACTCCAGAGCTCTTTAACTTATTAAATATACCTATAATAGGCCACACATTATTGATCAAGAGAGATGAAGGACTGGGCCTGGAGGCACACACCTGTAATCCCAGCACGCAGGAGCCTGAGGCAGGAGGATCACTGTGAGTCTGAGGCCACCCTGGGCTACATAGTAAGTTCAAGTCCTGCCTGAACTATAGTGAGACACTGACTCAAAAAATAAATAAAAATTTAAAAAAAATAGAGAGAGATGAAGAGCTGAGGGCAGCTAGTGGTACAATGCTTGTCTATCATACATGAGGGCCTGGGTTGTCTCCCAAAAGAGACACAGAAGTCCTGGCCCAGCAGAGCATATAGTCAGCTAAGCATGGTAGTGCATGCTTGTAATCTAGTACTTTGGGAGGCTGAGGATGGAGGATCACAAAATTCAAGCCCCAGCCTAGGCAACTTAGCAAGACTGTCTAAAAATAAGAAAGAAAGAAAGAAAGAAAGAAAGAAAGAAAGAAAGAAAGAAAGAACTGGAGATGTAGCTCATTATAAATGCCCTGAATTGAATACTCAGTGCCAACAAAATAAATAAACTCACAGAGTTTACAGTCTAGTGGAAGAGGGAGAAAATGATGAACAAGCATTGAATGTTTTTCAGGCAGTAACATAAAGTAGGATGGTGCTGGGGCAGAGGCAGGAGCTGGTAGGATCTGGGTAGACGATATACAAAAAGCAGGGCACAGGTACAAAACTACTTCTATTTGAAGTAGAAGCAAGCTCAAAGGATGGTGTGCTAAGACAGGAGTGAGAGAGGAGAGGAGCGAACAAATGAATACACCATCAAAAAGGAGAGTCCCAAACATGACTCCGTGGTGCACAACTGTAATCACACAGCTGTTAATCCCAGTTACTTGGAAGATTAAGGTAGGAAGATTGTGAATTCAAGGGTCTGGGCAACACAGTGTCTCAAAGAAAAGGAGAGCCCCATAGATTCCAGGGGTTCCCTGGAATACAAAGTACAAGAGGGCTTAGAGGGCCAGGGAAATAGCTCGGCAGCACAGTGCCTTCCTAGCCAGCATAAAGTCCTGAGTTTGGTTCCCAGTATCCACAAAAACAGACAAACAAAAAACCAAAGACTTAGAGGAAGCCAGTTTTTTGGGAGGATCAAACTCACAACCTTGCATTTGCCAGGCAGGTGTTTGTATTACTGAGCTGTACACACAGCCCTCCTTAGAGAATATTGTGGAACATGTGACAGACTGGCTGCTGTACACATTCTTCTTAAGGTAAGGTGCTTACTAGGAACACTTGCTGATATCCTTGCAGGTCTTTTCTAAGTTGGGTCAAGGGTGCTTACAGAGGCCCTTTACCCTGGATCACAGAATGGTCAGCTTGCATGTGTTCATGAAGCCTGCCAACATGGGCCACAGCCTGAGTAGTAATGACAGACAGCTGAATCTCAGAAGTAGACAACTGACGGCTAGTGACTTACGAAGAGCAGGCAAGCTTACAAGGTTTATTTATCTCAACCCAGAGCATAATAGTTGAGGATCTTTGATCCCAGTGGCAGAAAACACAACTCAAAATAGGTTTACGTTTGTGCCAGGGTGATGGCTAGCTTGGAGGCTGAGGCAGGATGATCAGCAGGTTTGAGACCAATCTGAGAAATTTATTGAGACCTTGTCTCAAAATAAAAAATAAATTGGGCCAAAGATACAGCCTTTGTACTGGAAAAAAAAAACTTAAACAAACTGTATTTAGAAGGTTCCAAGGGTTTTTTTGTTTTTTTGTACCAGGGATCAAATTCATGACTGCACACTTGCAAGGCAAGTGCTTATACTGCTGAGCTAAACCCCCAGCCCGCTTCCATAGCTTTTAAAAATGTATATGTACGATAGGCTTCAGGAGCAGTATGATCCAGAGGTTATATCATTAGAGCTATGGCATTTTTCTTTTTCCTTCTTGTCTCTTTGATCTTCTCACAGCTGCCTCCAGTCTATTGGTAGTTCCTGTTCAAC